TTCATGACTGTCACACATGCTTCTCAAGGAGAAGCAAATGCCCAGCGTAAGTCCGGCAGACCAAGTGAAAACAATGGATCTACTCTAAGGCAAATAATCAAGACATTTTAGAACACTGGAGACAGAGACATTTCTAAAAGCTTCCAGAGAAAAAAGGAAATGAGACTGTTAGTTTTTGAAAATCATATACAGAAATATATGAAATAAAAAGGTCCTTGGACTTTTAGTAACAAAATTGGAAGCAGTGTCAAAATTCTGTGTGAATATGAATTTCAGACAGGGATTCAAATACAAATTCTAAACATTTTCTCCTCTTTTTATTTTTCAAGGAGCTATGTAGGTTTTATTTTGCTAATGTGAGGCTCTAAACCAAAGGAAAAAAAAAATCAAAGGTAATCAGCCCAGAGGAAGGGCGAAGAGAACACCCTATATTGTGCGAATGGGAGAATCCATGGTGCTCTCCATGCTAACACCAAGAAAGTAATCAATCCAGACTTGAAGGAGAGAGTACCTTTAGGAAAAGGGAAAAAATAGAATTGATAAATAATTGAAAGGCTCTTCATTGAACTATTAGAGGAGGCAGAAAAATTAATTTACATGTACAAAGAAAAGTAAACAAAAGCAAAATAAAAAAGCAGAAGAAATTATAATAATTACCTCCAGGGAAAAAATTAACTGCAGAACAAAAATTATTCTACAAGATGTACAGCAGTGAACAATATTTATAGAGCTGTAATAATGGAGACGCTAAATAGGAATTTAATAAAATGCAAACACATTTGTGTTCAGGTGATGGGAAAAGAGGAAGAGTGGAAGTTGGTGAAATTGGATCCTTACTTACCATGATAGGGAGTCAAATTACAATGTCAAATGAGAAACAAGAAATAGATAATGGTGCATTATCTACTATACATTAATTGAAAGCAACCTTCCAATTCTTGTTTTCTTTGCTAATCTTTCTGCATGTTTTTTTTTTTTCAATAAGCCACCTTCTCTTGAATTCCTAATGATTATAGAATCCTCATTATCTAATTGTTGATAATTCTGATAATTCCATATAATTTTATATAACCTAAATTCTGCTCACATTCAATCTAGTTATTCTTGCTTAAATATTAAATGTAGGATTTTTCACATTTGTCAGACTCTCACACACACACATACACATGAACCAACCATCTTAAGGACCAGAGTCATTTTCTCTACTGGGCTTTATCATTTATTTCTGACTCCTTATCAATATATATTTGATGAGTCAGACCTTTATTACTGTGGTCCAGAGTTTAAAAAAACAATATAGAATGATTTTAAATGTAATTGTGTAATATTTCATTATGTATATATGCCACATCTTGATCCAGTCATCTATTTTTGGGCATTTGGGTTGTTTCCAGGTTTTACCTACTGTAAATAGTGCTGCAATAAACATAGGGGTACAGGTGTTCTTTTGAATCAATGTTTTTGTGTCCTTTGGGTAGATCCCTAGGAGTGGAATTGCTGAATTGGGTCATATGGTAGCTCCATTTTTAGTAGACTGAGGAACCTCCAGACAGCTTTCCATAGTGGTTGGACCAGTTTGCACTCCCACCAGCAATGTAGGAGAGTTCCTTTTTCTCCACATCCTCGCCAACATTCGTTGTTGCTTGTTTTGCAGCAATGTGGATGGAACTAGAAGGAATTCTACTCAGTGAAATAAGCCAGAAGGAAAAAGAAAAATATCAGATGGTTTCACTTATAGCAGAAATCTAGGGAACGAAATAAGACATCGGTGTAAAAAAATAGCAGTACAAAACACAACAAAGCAAAAACAGACAATTATAAATCAGAGACATCCTGCAGGGGAGGAGGAGGGAGAGGGATCAGAGGGAGGGAGGGAGGAGCACAAGGGACTGAGGTGATGGTGCACAGGAGCCTTGGGAACAGAAACTCTATGAGGACTACACCTGAGGGGTATAGAGGGAAGCAAATATTATTTAAAAATGAACAATGATGTAAAAAATAAAAAGTTAATACAAAAAATAAACATATTTTAAACAAAAGAATAAATGTAATTGTGAACATAGTTCTACCTTTAACTTTTAAACACCCTAGTAAACAGTGAGGCTGCAATCACTGCAGGCTGAACCCATTGCTGGAGCTTATTTGGTCACTTAGTTAATCTTGCTAGGCATAAACCATAGATAGCTAATCCAACTAAGGAGAATATGCTTATTTTCCAAATTAGTTACACAAAGAGTTAAAATACATTTTTCAAAAAAGGTGCCTATATTGTTTTTATTACATTAATAAAATTCCTATGGAAAGTCATTTAAAAATGAATAAACATCTAAATAAAATTGGTCCTTCTATGTTTTTCATATCTAACTTATCTAACTTTTTTTTTATAGAGGCATGTTTATTTATTTGTTTGTTTGTTTTTGTTTATACATGCACTGGGTACAGTCAGAAGTGCAGAAGGGTGAGAGAATTCACCAGAGCCAGAGCAGGGAGCAGAGCAGGCAGAAGGACCAAAGTACACTGCTGAGGGGAGCAGCGGGCGGCAGGAGAGGTCTGCGTGCCATGTGGGACCCTCCTCAGGTGGCCGGGGAGCAGCCGGGGACCGAACTGGCGCCGCAGAGGCTGCGGGCAGCTTCGCAACCCAGCACTCAACTGCTGCGCCACCGGGGAGGCCCTCTAACTTTATTTTAGTCTAAGATATTGGTGCCTGACTTAATCCTTGCACCTGACCAAAGGAGCTTTATAACATATCTATATCCTTACCTTCAAATAAGAAAATATGCAGGTTGAACGGCTTTGGGGCACAAAGTATATCCTTGGATAGCAACCTTTTCCCATGTATCTATATAGATAGTAATTACTATGTTCCTAGAATTCTGCAAAAATTAAAGGGATAACTTTAACTGGTGCTTCCAGTCTTTGGAATAGCAAATTAATTTTGCCATTCCTTCTGACTCTCATTTCACTACAGATGTAATATAAAAGAATGTGTATATTTAATAGGATTTAAAGCAAGAGAACACGCCACTGAAATCAACTTTATTACATTTTCTGCATTTTAGAAGTGTACTTTTCATTCTGCTTTTATACAAAAGAATCTACTCTCCCCCAAAAGATGGCAAAGTATTACTTGAAATCTAAATACAGCCCCTAAAATTAATCTGAATTTGTACCCATCCAAATCTTGTTTTACAAGTCAATTCAGTTTACCATCTCATATAAACATCTGTAGTTAACAGAGCCATATCACTTGCAAGGTGTTTAAGGGTTTCCCAACATCTTGTTTTGTTTAATGTAATATTAGTCTGAATAGCAATATCTTTTGACTATAATACTAGGAAGACTGATTTTTATTATGTCAAAGGCATGATGATGACTATCATAAAATTTCTTACTTCTGTCTCACTAAGAAAACAATTCCTCAGATAAACTTTTTTATGTTACACATGTAGAAATGTAAACTATGAAACTTTTTATTAAGATTTAAGAGAAAATTGGAGTGTGCTTTAAGATTGACAACTTAATTCAAGGCGACCTTTACTTACCTCCAAATGTAGAAAATTTTGCGGTACATTTAAATCTTTAGAAAATTGCTAAAATACAGTAGATAATGTCTCTAAATGAAATGTACATCATTGTTGGAAGTTAAGGGTTAAAAGCAGGGCACAGAGCCTCAATTAGCATCTTTAAATGAATGTCACCCTTGAAAGTTTTTTGAGAAAGAAATACCAAATTCCTCCATAAGAAGAATTAGGAACCAAATAGAATTGGAAGTGAGTGAATTTGCACTGGCAATAATTCAAGATTATATTCAAAGGTTTGGAGGTGTCCACTTGAGCTAAGGAAGAAGGAAAATATAGTACTAATGGACTTTTAGTGCTAAAAACATGAAATTTACCTTCAAGATGAGAGAGCAAATACATTTACTATTTGAATTATTTGCATCTACAACTTTTTGCCCTTAAAATGCCTCTGCCAGAAATGATTTCTTTCAGTACATGAAATTTTCATGGAAAATGAACTCAATTTTACCTTGATTATGCTTTTAAAATGCATATATATTGCTACAGTCAGTCTTGTGAAATTGGTTCCTCACGTACCTCTTTTCATAATAACATAATACCATAAAGTAGCAACTCAGGATATGAAGAACTGCATATTTTACCTTGATATTGGTCAGGCTGACTTCACATTAGTGGGGCACGGAAGAATAAAATGATAAGAGATTTTGCGGTCAATAGAGAGAAACAAGATATGCATATTAGTCACACTCAAGTTAATTCCCCATTTATTCCTTTTTTTTTTTTCTTCTTCATTCTATAAAACATGGTAAGAATGGTACTACTGTCAAGAACTTCATATTATAGTGTGGAAGAAGGAAATCTAAACTAATTATCTCCATGTAGGGTACCCTAACAACAACCCCCTAACTTCCAGGAACTTAAATTCAATACAATGAAAGTCTGGTTAACAGAGACTCTGGGCAGCTGTTGTTCATGAGATGACTTAGTATTGTGATCCCTCACTAGATGGTGCTTCCACTATTCTCTCAGCCGAGAAGAGAGCAATAGAGTCAGGCATTGGTAATTAAATGTTGCACTAGGTCAGTCACTTCCTCACACTCATCACTCCATAGCAAGCCATGCAGTCATGCCTACATCAAAGGAAAGAAGCCAGTGCTGCCCAACTATGGGTCCATAGGAAAGGATTTATGACAGAGATGTTCACTGACAATACTGTCACATTAATAATTACAAAGAAATTTCCAAAATGGATATAAAATAGAACTTTTTAAATGTTATAAAAGCCAGAGAAGGTATTATTTTTGAAGACCATATAAAAATTTTTCTTGAAAGATGAGTAGACCTCCCAGCTAGGAGGAATGATGGCTGAAATGGTACCACATGAAAGGGAGAGGCAGGATGTGAGAGTTTAATGCTGTGAGAGTTTACTTGGCAATTTTTTAATTCTGTGCTAAGGATCTTGCATTTTTTTTCTTCTAGCACTCTCGTGTTTTCAGAAGAGGGTTAAGAGACAATGTTTGTGTTATAAAAATCACTCTTGTTGGAGAAGAGAGAATGGATTTGAGATGGAAGAGGCTTTGTGGTATTATGTTCTGGCAGAAGATGATGTCACTCTGAAGTACATCACTAACACATTGACATTGGAAATGGATTTGAGAGACACCAGGAGGTAGAAACCAACATGGTTATTGATAGGCTGCTATCTTTTGAAATTGTACTGTGAATAAAAACATAAAGACACAAGGTATCTATCTCTAAATACATGATTATTACCTAATAGGAAATTAATCATATAAAGAGAAAACAACAGTAAAAGTGTATGTTGTCATAAAAAACATTCTTATGAACATGCCACAGCCAATCCTGCAGTCTTAGATCATGGGATCATGACAACTTATTATGACTTTTTAATTGCTATTCTTTGGGATTACTTCTCGGCTGGCTTCTCCTTTATTTCTATACGTTGACCTTAAACTATGTCATATGTGTTTAGCAAAGAATATGTTCTTGCAATGACCTACTTGCCAGTTTATTCTGAACCACCCATTCTCACAAATTCATTTGGAATGTTATTGTCATCTAGAATTACCACACTTCTTAATTAATTTAGTAAGTCTCATTCTCTTGGGTGATAATATTTGAAATCTTGACACTTGATGGTTAGAGTGGTTGGGATGCAGTTAAAATATACTGAAACATTCCTTAAAGTTGTCAGCCTTTTTATTCTGAAAGACCAGCTAAATATGTACCATACATTGTTAGTGTTCTTATCAAACATGAAAACAAACATAACATAGAGGGAATGCCAGTATTATTCTTGGTCTTCATTCTTCTTATATTTCTTTTCAAATTATCTTCTTTTTGAGTTGTTGCTGGTACTTCTGTGGCCCGCTGAAAAGAACTCATATTTCTATGTCCTTTTTGTGCAGTGTTTGAGGAGATTCTGAAATCTCTGTGCTATTTCCTTCTCTGTCATTTCCAACTTCTGCTAACTAGGTAGGAGCATTAGAAACAGCAGCAATTAGCTCTAGCATTTATATCACCCCTCCCTTCTAAGTAAATAAAACTTTATTGTTAAGTACTATTTGAAATAAACCACTGTTTTTACAGCATATAAATCATTCATGCAAAGGAACTTTATGGTCATGCTATTTAATATTATGGGAACTGACTGAATTATGCCCTACTTTATTTTTGCCACTTACTTATGGCCCTGTCAGTTTTTATATGATCACTTTAAATTTTAATTCCTCAGAGACAATAATTACATCCATGATACTCTATGTAGCAAAACTTTGTCCATTAGCTAATACTGATTTTTTTTAGTTTTGCTAATACAATTGAAGTTATTTTAAATTTTGGAGAAATAGGGCTAATTAATTACTAACAAGGCTTTCTGTTAAAAAAAATATTTCTTAAATTTTTATATTCATGGGTGAACACTATGTCTTGAAATATTCATATAAAGAGATGCTAAAATTCCATATGAAGTTCTCAATAATTACCAAAATATCTTGACTAAATTTATTTTCATCTTATACTTTAAAGAAATATTTTGAGATAAATATGCAATTAATCCTCTGTATTACTTTTTTTGAAAAGCAAATGGTTCATTTGTTCACAGAATGACTCTCCATGAACTGTGCTTTGATACAGTAATGAATCAAAAAATCTGATTCAAGAGACACTTTATTTATTTTAAAGATTTATTTATTTTTATATAAGAATTGGGGTATAGGCCAGAGGTGCGGGAGGGTGAGAGGATTCACCGGAGACAGAGCGGGGAACAAAACAGGCAGACTGACTGAAATACACTGCTGAGGTGAGCAGCAGGTGAGACAGGAGAGGTCTGCCTCACCATGTGGGATTCTCGCCAACCGGCGGGGATCGAACCCGCTCTGCAGAGGCTGCAGATAGCTTCACAGTGCAGTGCTCAACCACCTGCGCCACCAGGGTAGGCCCTCAAGAGACACTTTAGAAACCATTTTTATTATAAAGATGAAAAACTAAGGTCATAAGAGGTCAAGTGTCTTCTTCCAGATGCTTCTACAAGAAGGAACATCTTTTAGTGACAAGAACACCTGCTTAGAAATTAAAATATTTTAGGGCCTCCCCAACGGTGCAGCGGGTTGAGCACAGTGCTGTGGAGCTGTCTGCAGCCTTGCAGCGCGGATTCGATTCCCGGCCAGGCAGGGAGATACCCAGATGGCATGGCAGATCTCTCCTGTCTCGCCCTCTGCTCCCCTCAGCAGTGCTTTCAGTCCTCTGCCTATTCTACTCCCCGCTCTGTCTCTGGTGAATCCTCTCACCCTCTTGTGCCTCTGGCCTGTACCCCAGCTCTTATATAAAAATAAATAAAAATCTTTAAAGATAAGAATTTAGAACATTTTAATTTCATCTAGTTATATATTTTATATGTAGGTTTCTTTAATTTCTTGGACAAAAGATGGATTGTATAATCTTGAGGTTCCCTTTTTTAAAGATTTATTTATTTATGCATATAAGAGAGGGGGCATAGGCCAGAGGTGTGTGGTGGGGGGTGGTAAGAGGATTCACCAGAGATGCAGTGGGGAGCAGAACAGGTGGATTGACGGAAATATACTGCTGAGGTGAGCAGCAGGCGATTCAGGAGAGGTCTGCTGCATCATGTGGGTTGCTCCCTGGCCAGGAATCAAACTCATGCTGCAGTAGCTGTGAATAGCTTCATAGTGCTGATACTTAACTCCTTGTGCTACAAGGGAGGCCCCCCTTTCAATTTAAAAATGCAAAAATTGAAGTTAAAGTCAAGCTAGAATTAAAGAGTCACTTAAGAGGACTTTGACCATCAGTGTCAAATTGGGTGAATGTTAGAAGTTAAACTGCTGTCACAGCAGTTCTAGGAAAGCCAGGAGAGGCAGCATTGGGAGGTAATTAGTGAGTATGGTTGACACCATGAACAATGAACACTGTGAGATCAGGACCTGGCAGCTCAAGCAGATCAGGACATGCAGAGTCCAGAGGATAAGAAATTCAGTGGGCAGTGAAACTAGAGACCACAGAGCAGAAATAATGACAGAAAAGCTTGCAGGAGCATGAGCAACCGGAGACTCCTCATCTCAAGAAGTATGCTAGATATTCAACTTCTAAGTTGAGTCCAAGGTCAGGAGTAACCTCAGAGGGTGAGCAGGGAGCACAGTTTGAGATAAAAGGGGAAGGATCTATGTAAGGGAAAAAAAAATCTTGTGTGTGTGTGTGAGTGTGAGTGTGCGCGAGTGTGTGTGTTAAACATTGAATTCTTATTAGAAAAGATGTCACTGAGTTATAAGTGCAGATGGAAACCAGAAACTCATAGAGAAGGCAAAATTGTTCTGAATAAAGAAGTTTTGATGAAATTCTTGAGAGAGGTGAAAGTCCCGAAAACTCCAAGTAAGAGGAGGGGTATGAAAAACAATAGAAAGAGCTGGTGCCTCCTGGAGATGTTTGAAGAGGATTTTTTTCCTGAAAGGGACTTCAAATAATTTGTAAAATGCAACCTTTCTGGAAAGATTTAATAAAATATTCACTTCTTATTACTGCAACATGAGCGCTAAGGGCATAGGAAAGTAGACAATGTCCTCATATGTCCTGTCTCACCTGGACCCCCACATACTCTCTGCCGCTAGAGAGGAGTTCTCAAGTGGAGATTTATAAACGGTAGAATGTTTCTGGAAATGTATCATCAAATTACAAATATTTTGCCCAATAACACACATCTCCACATGTACACTCTGTGGACAAATACCCCACGTTCTGACAGGTACACCAACACAGTCCTTTGATATTGACAGATGCTACTCTAAGAGCTACTCACACATTTGCCTCTGCTCCATAATAATAATCATGGATTAATGTGCTTTTAGTTTTTCCCCCCTCTATGTATAAAGGACTTTTATTTCTTAGGCTCATCCCTGATAATGGAATGAAGTTTAATTCTGTTATAGCCAGAGAGCTGCTGGTAATTAGACCTTTCGGGTATGTAAAGGAGGGCAGGCCCCATCCATGCCTTTCCTGCATGGACTTAAGTCTGCATGCACCTGGCTCTTGCTCATAGCTCTGTTTCCAGCTGGGAAAGATATAGCTCCTCTTAGCAAGAGGCAAATATTTTCCACTTTTCAAAAGGCGTTATCTGTTCCTCTACAGATAAGTCAGGTTGTAAACCTGACCCTTGGCAACACATCAGGAGAAATTTATCGGGAAACTTCCCTGGAGGAGGCACAACACTACTGAAACAATAACTGAATCCCACACCTGAAAAGAAAGAAGAGAATCTGGTTTAACAAGTTTGAGCACTAAAATATGTATCCACTGGAAACACCATCCCCTTAAGTCTGTCTTCTTCACTCTCCCTCAGGCTTCTTCATGGCCTAGTGGTGAGTGCTGGCTTAGGGATTTTCTCTCAAGATTTTATATCCACTAGGTATACCTCCTCTCATCTGCGGGTACAGTTTCATCCTTTGCTTTTCTCCCACTCATATGTTCCTATCCACAATTCTCAATGTACAGTCTTCTCCCGTACTGGCAGCTTATACCATTTCCAAATTGTACTGTCCTATTCCCTCCTTGCCATGGCTCCTTACTATCACTCTCAATAAATTCCAGCTTCAGGCTCTTCTGTTGACACTGTTTCCAGGAAAAAAAAAAAAAAAAAAAAACTCTCAAATGGAAGACATCTATCTTCTTATTCCTTTCCCAGTTTGGTAAAAGTTGAGCATTTTCCACTTATTCAAATCTGTTTCTGTATTTTAGCTTTGCCAACGTATTTCTTTTTACTTTGAACTCCTTTTCTTTTGAAATATGTCCTCATCTGTACCATTTTTATGTTATTATTTGCTAACTCTGTATCTAGTTTATTCTAGCCCAAATAGAGTGGTTACAATGTGCAGGAGTTGTGGTTGAGGTACTGCATAGGTACTTATAACAATGTGACAGAAATGGAGCTAAAGTGATGTGGAATATCAGAGGAGAGATGCGATTCTTTTGGCTAGAATAATAAAGGAGTGCTCCCAGGAGGAAGAGCCATTGAGATGAAAGTTGGGCTTGTAAAATAGAGAGGAAGAGAGGCGCAAAGAGCAAGGGGATGAAAGCTTGAGGGTTGGTGTGTGCACCATGACAAAGAGGAGTCAGTGTGATGACTCTTGTTTGAGAGATGTGTGGGTGTGATAAGTAAAGTATGTGATTTGGGTTCTTCTCATTCAGAAGGTGAGAGAATAGGAAGGAGTCAGAGAGGCTGTGATTTTAGTCAAAGGACAATTAGAGATCAAACTGCATGGAAGGCTTTTATCAAGAGATCTGCTATCATGAAAATAGTTTTCAATCGCAGACACCTGAAAGTTATACAGTATTTTAATGCTATATCATTATATATATTATATATATACACTATGCTATAACATTATATATGATATAACATTAAACATACACTATATATATAGTGTATACACGATATATAACACTATATATATACCCTAATGATATAACATTATATATATACACCAAAGAATATGCACACACGCACATGCACACACATATATATCTAAAGATTATTTCTGGAGATGACTCTAAATCTGGATAATCTTCATTCCTTTAGGTAATGGTAACCATTTCTTTTGAATCTTTCAGGGCCTCGATCACCTCAGTTCTACAAGCTAAGGTAGCACATATTGGAAAAAGTCTGCTCTGGACACTTTGGGGAATCCTATCCTATTCAATCTTTAAAAGGTTATTAGTTAATACCTATATCATGTACATAGTTATATTTTTTGGTGAGAACATTTAAGATCTGGTCTTTTAGAGATTTTGAAGTATATAATTCAGTGCTATTGAAGAGCTATCGTAGTAATCATGTTGCAGTGAATAACTGCATTAAATCCATGTGCTGTATATCTTAACTTATACAATACCATATGTCAATTGTATTTCAATGCAAAATAAAAATTAGTGAATTTCAAATAAAGAATCTCCATAAAGTCAAGGGACATAAGGGCAAAGAGTTATGAGTTGTAATGAAAAAATAGAAAAATACATATACCAGGCTGTATTTTTAGACATTAGTGAAGACAAATGATTTGGTGTAATTTTGAGAAGGTTTGACAATATCCTTTCTTCAGAGGAAGGATATTTAAGAGTTAGAATGTACAAATAATAGAAAGTCAACTAAGTTATAAATTTTGTAATCTTTTCATTAAGCCCCTCCTTTATAATTTGAAAGGATTCTTGCTTGTCCTTTAATCTCTAACTTTTCCTAGTTCTACAGAACCTGTGTAATGGGGAAATTGAGAACACCATAAATGAAAAAGGCTAAAATAATATATTAAAGAACTGAGTCAGATTGAAGTTGAAAGAGATAAATATCTACCCAAGTGTTTTTTGTGTGTGTTATAAAGAACTAGGAATTATATTTGCATGATCAGGAGATAGCTGCAGTTTGTAAGGCATTGAAAGTGAAAAAAATAGGTAAAGAGATCTTTCAAGTACCACTGGCATATATTATGAAGAAGCTCCTTTGTGATTTCACAAAATATTCAATAAAATTTAAAAATAACAATTACTTTAAATGCTAGGTTAATTATTCTATAATGCCACCTCCTACTAAAAATGGGTAAAGGAGGGCTCTGCTATATAAATTTTATGTAGGCCCAAATGCTGTCCTCAGGTATGTAGGTGATTGGGTGTAAGTATGTGTGCAATTTCGTAGAGGGTAATGGAAAATACAAGACAAAAGAATAATTTAAAAAAATAGGCAGGGAGCATGAAATCAAAAGATAAGAGGCCAGCCCCTTGGAAGGAGGGTAGTGGCATTTTTTGAAATAAGGAACCTGGAAGTTCTGAGTTAAAGGCAGAGAAACTGATGATAGTCATGCAGAAAAATGGAAGAAATGTCCTCTAGAGAGACTAAGGGGTTTGGTGGTTTCAGTAAGTGAGAAAGTCTTGGAATAGGCATGTTCAATAATGTTGGAATAAAAATATGTGTACAATCATCTCCAAGTAGCAGTTGAGATCAGATTTCTAGGGAAATTTGATCAAATTGTCTTATGAATCTTTCTCACAGCTATCATCATGCAGAAGCAGAAGCATGAGAATTTTATAGTGGAAGATTTCTAGTGAACTGTATACAAGGAAACACTGATGATTGTTCTAGATCTGCCATTAATTACTGGTGTTTTGTTCTAAGTTTCTTCAACTTTAGATACAAACTCCTATATTTATTTTCTAAGGGCTTCTAAAACTGGGTATAGTGAGAGGACAGATGCAGAAATCAAGTTTGTGGGGGTGAGAAAAAGGCAGGCAGGCTGACACATGATCTTGGAATTTCAGGTCTACAACTGGGGAGCTGTATTTGTCAAGCTTCTCCTCCCTCGGATTTCTCTTTTTCTCCTTTTCTTGCTGCAACTGTGGAAGGAAGTCAATATGTGCACTCTGGAGCTAGGAGTTGGTGTCATGCTGCAACCCTGTGACAGAAAATTATCTCCATAAGATTTTGGATTTCTGCATGGGAGAATTGTATATTCTCCTCTATTTCTTTCTTTAGTCAATCAGTTATTCAGATTAGTGTGGATTCAGGTATGTTTATACTTTTGTTTATAATACAATACTACCTTTTGTTGTTGTTATTGCTCAAATCATTTCTTCTTTACTCACAGAGGATTCTTTCAGTTGTTTCCAGTGCCCATTTACTATACTTCACTATGTGTTTTTCATATCACTTGAAGAGAGCAGACACTTTGTGTATTCTTTCAATTTTTTTTTTTTTTTTTTTGGTGGGACCCTCGCCAGTGGCTGGGGATCGAATTGGCACTGCAGAGGCTGCAGGCAGCCTTGCAACCCAGCGCTCAACCCCTGCGCCACCAGGGGAGGCCCTCTTTCAATTCTTAAAAACCAAGTCAGAGGGCACACTTAAGTTTTCTGTTTTTCTGTGTCAATAAACAGCATTCCACAAAGTAGCACTTAAGCTGAATATTTGTCTTCATTTGATGCCTTCTACAAGGATTTGCATGTTACTCTATGTCATTTTTTCACTTTGGACCTAACAGTGTGTACAAGTTTTATAAGCACATGAATACTTAACGCTTGAAACTGAAAGTATTTTCCTACAATACATATTTTTTTAAATGTTGTGAATCTAATAGAAAGTGAACTTTAATTACATTACCTTATACAGCAAAGAAATTTGGCATTGTTTAGTAATCAGCTAAGCTCCCTTTACAAATATCCTTATTATGTATCATTTAGTAAAGAATTTTGAGCTGTGCATAATTTAAGCATGAATTATTTTATTATAATAGATCTGCCCTTTAATACTATAGAATGTCACTTCAGACTATGTATATTGTGGTCTGTTAATTGTATTTCATCATCAGAAATCAAGTTATGGTTTTACATCTATTTTCAATTTACCAGTTCTACTTTGTAGCTTCCTGATGTGCTTTTAATTGCATCTCAGATTTCAGTATATATTTTATTTGTTAAATTAAGTATAATTTAGCAGTGGTACAAAGTACTCCTTGTTAAAAATGACAGTGTTGAAATAAGGATATTCTGACTGTATGCTTTTGATGGCACAATCATTTTTGACCATAGCATTTTGACCTTGAGAAGGTTTGTGATTTGAAAATCTGAAGTAAATAGCATGAACATGAGCACCTTTTCATTGTGAAGTGTTTTTTGGAATAATAATAACTGACTTCCCAGTGTTTTCTGTAGTGCATTTAAAATCTTTTCTAGGTCAAATGGTTGATGGGGTTGAAATATCTTGTCTGCTCATTCATTCAATAACTATTCAATGAAAACTTTGATCAAGCTCAGTTATTTGCATTGGATAGAACAATGAACACACTGGGCAAAGTGTCTCTCCTCTGAATGAGGAGCAGAACAGGTGGATCTATTGAAATACACCGCTGAGGGGAGCAGGAGTTTAGCTCTTTGGCTGGGGATCGAACTCATGATGCAGTGGCTGGCAATAGCTTGATAGAGCTGAGATTTTAACCGCTGTGCCACCAGGGAGGCCCCTCTTCCAAATCCTTGAATGTTTTGCACAATAACTAATGTTTTTATATTTTTCAGTAGGCAGAAGAGGTCATGGGAGGTGATGGATAGGTGACAATTTTAGAACAAGTGGTGAGGTAGAAAAAGAACCCATAAAAGGATAATTTGGCCAAAGCATTTTGACTATAATTCTTATTTTCAAAGTTTAAGTTATTTTTATTGACCCACATTCAGTCATTGCAAGGATCCTTTGGGTTTATTCTCAAACCTCCTCCATATTGTTAGAGATCACTAGTAAAAAAACATTTTCCCTAAAATGCTCAATAAATTTATATTTTCCTCCAAAAATGATTATAAGAATGAATACAAAGAGCTGCTTTTGCTGTACAATAAATATTGTATAACTAATGAATGAATTATAAATATTGATTTTAATTCACTCGAAAGTAATATAGCTATATTATACGTATAATGGATGTAACAAAAAGTTAATTTTCTGCTGTGTCAACAACATGCTTAGCACTTCTCCCACCCAAATATACTGCCCATCGTGTGCAAATTTTTTCTCTTTAACTTTCTTGAGTACTTGATCAGAATGTCAAGCAGGAGTGGGAGTTTGTTGGGCACAGTCCTTGATGCCTGTCTCTATTTATTAGTAAATAGGGTCCTCCCAGTTTCCTGTGACTTTTCTCTCCTGGTACCATTAAGAAATTTGTCTGAGATTGTCTTCTTCCTCTGCTACAGTAAGATAAACTGTATTTTGTTTCTAGGCCATGAATTTAATGTCTTAAGGGGAGAACATTCATCTCTAGACTTTATTCCATCTCTGCTTCTAAGCAAGTTAAGTTTGTCTGAATTTCTTGATAGAGGATATTTATTCTTTTCTTTTTTTTCATTTGACTCTGCCTTGATATATAACTTTTTCTTGCTTATTCTTAATTTTAATTCATGATTGATCATAAAGGTTTAATTTATAAGCAAATATGTATTTACAGTTAAAATTTGGCTGGTAGTAGAGAAAAAGATTGAAGGAAACCAGGTAGTTCATATAGAACAGTAAATGATGTTTTAAAAATGTACAAAGAATATGTTATTCTCATACCACTCTCAAAGATAGCTTTGAATTTTATGGGAATCAATACCAGACTTGATTTCCAATTCTAGCTTTCTGAATACATTCCTATATTCTAAACCTAACGTGAAGGAGCAATGAAAAGAGTTTGAGATGCTCATGAGCATGTTTTGTCACTGATAGTGTTATTAAGGCAAAAGCAAATTTGGTGGGTTGAATGGAATTTTTCAGGATCAGGTGAGTAAACTGTAGGTTCTATACATTTTACCTGTAGGAAAACTAGACAGAGGGTTTTTTTTTTTTTCAGTAACTTTAAAATAACATTTTTAATAGAATATATTTCTGAAATTTGTACCTTAGATTTTGATAACTAAAATATAAGGAAAGCAGGTATTTATAAGTTTATTTTCTTTACACCTTGATATTATGAGCTTCATTTTGTCTAATACATTTTCATTCATCCACTAAACCACTCATTCACCCTTGTGTGCATTTATTCATGAAACTGACTTTGAAGAGTTCACACTTGCTGTAATAATCTGACTCATAAACAAAGATGCTATAAAATCTATGTAGAATTTCTCACTGATGTAATTTATTGTAATAAAATATGTTTATTCTATAAATTTCTTCAACTATACTGCTGAAATCTTAATGTTATGCTGGGAAAGAAATCCAGAAGGAAGGAAGGAAGTCTCTTAGTAGAACTTCTGAACCGTTTTGTTGGATCACTGGGATTTGGGCTCTAAACTCCCTTTTTTATTCTATCCCTTTTTCTTTTCTATAATATGGGAATATTTTCTCTACTATGAAATAAAAATTACTTACTTTCTCAAAATCTAAAAGTTCCTGTTCCTACGTCATGTAAATCATTTCCAAAGACTTGATCTCAGAAGGGGTGTCTGTTCAGGAAAAAAAATAAAATTGTTCCTCCATCATGGTCTCACAAAGCATCCCCAGTAGCCAGTGTTAGTATGCCATGTACCTGAATAAAATCATTTTGTCAATCAAGAAAATATAGTACAATGTGTTCAAAGAAATACAAACATAAAAGAATCATTGACTAATGTCAATTTATTTACCTATAGCTTAAAACAGAATATACTACATATAAGGTCAAAGTTCCTGGTGAATTGTCAATCCTCTCTTGATACCATCCCTCTTTCTCCACTCCCAGAAGTAACCCTGTCACTACATTGAAATCAGGGTGTATCATTTATAGTAGTATTTTAATACATATATACTGTCATTGTAGTCCTAGACTATACATACATATGCATGTATATATGCACATGTGTGTAGTCTTTACCTTGAAATTGATGTATAAATTTTATATGCATTATTTATAACTAGCATTATACTTATATAATGCTATCAGTAATTTTAATTTGTTTAACTTTTCTATACTATTTTGTTAACTGAGAATACAGTAAATTATCCATTTTCTATTGATATTAAACACTTCTGTTGTTAACTATTTTGTTTTTTGCTATCACAATGTTTTTATGTACTTTCTTGTATGTTGATTGAAAATCTACTTTATTATCATGGCATTAAGCACTTTTTTTGTCTAACACAAATAATATAAATATTTAGTAAATATACCTTTATGACTAGTGAGGTAGGGGGTATTCCTATAACTTATTCAAAGTTTTTCATGCAGCAGAGGTAGCAAGAAATCAAACTGTTTTTCTGGTTATTAGTCTCATACTCCTCACCATGCTATGCTTGCATACTTTCCCTACAGTTCCCACCACATTTATATTGTGATACTGGACACCAAAATAGGACAATAATCATTTTTATCTTTCTGATCCATGTTTCCTTTATGCCCACTCTTTCTTTTTTCCTACATATGCTTATTCTAAAAGAGTAATAGACATGATTCATATTCCTTCCAAACCTATGTGATCTGGACTAAGTGCTATTTTAAAGCAATGCATTCAATAATGATATTGGTTTCTTGATTATGTTATTGTGATATTATTAAATTGTAATCTTCTTTGTGCAGTTCTCCAAAATCTTGTCACTGACCTTGGTCATTTCTATTACTTTCTTTTTTTTTTTATAAATTTTATTGTTATATTCCCCATACAATTGCAGCCCCCCCATTCTGACCCCAATCCCTCCCCTCCCGCCCCTGCCCCCCTAAAAGTGTCTCTGGTTCATAGTTTTTTGTTGATTTTGATTTTCACTTTCTTATAGTTATTCATTTTCCTGGTCCCTTATTTAAGTTTTCTAGATTCCTGCTATGAGTGAGACCATCCGGTATTTTTCTTTTTCTTTTTGGCTTATTTCGCTGAGCATGATCCCTTCCAGCGCCATCCATGTTGCTGCAAATTGCATGTGTTTATCTTTTTTGAATGCTGAGTAATATTCCATGGTATATATGTACCACATCT